GTAAATATCACCTTCCGCATCTTTAAAGCTTTCCGGTTCTATGCCGCTGAGAATATCTCTCACGTTAGGGCACATGGTTGTGGATTGCAATGAAGAGATCCAAAACGTTTCCGGTTTTATGTCTCGGGGGTCAATCTTTTCGTAGAATTTTTGTCGGTGTAGCTTTCTTTCGGAAATTTGCGATTTTCGAAGAAGCTCCTTCTGATTCTCGTGTTCTTTGGCGATCAGTATCTCGCGTTCTAGTAAGAAATTGGCTTCGGTTTTCTTTTCGCTAGGAGGTTCCACGATTTCTTCATCATATCTGTGATAAATAATTTAAATTCGCGCGTCAACATAAACGATTCCAGATGAAAAAAAAACATCTGTTTCCGAACAACAGTTTTCTACCTATCCGGAAAAGGCTTCATCATAATGTAAAACAAACTTTCGTACTGAAAAATTCGCAAAGAACAAAAGGGCATCGTTTTAGAAGATCTCTATTTGCCAGGAAACGATCTGAAACAAGTTAAATTTATCTACCATTTCATTATCTTCAGTTCGCATGACTTTTTATTATTGCCGAGAGTGGAGAGTGGAGACGATATTTACACAAGTGTGTTGACGATCAATTGCGAATTCTCAGATCTTTATAAATATTTTCATCGAGTCATTATATATATTCATTCATAGTCTATGCATGGGTCACACATAACAGAAACTTTATTGTTGCATTTATGTATATCATGATGACCATTAACTCATTGTCAATTGATTTTAACTTGACGTGAGATATTAGGAAATAAAACATGCGCACACGTGCAAAGTACACGTCACGAATTCCATATCCGATCATCTAGAGATTGGGACGCGTCACATACAGACTACATAATGTGATAAAAAAAAAACAGCACACACACACTTCCCAGAATAAACAGTAACTTCTGACCAAACGAATTTCGGTTTGATGAGTTGATTAAAAAATGATTATTGATTCTTGTCGCCGACTCACTACTTATCTGCTTACAATCACGATAATCAAACGTTCACCTTCGTCATATTCACAGCAAAAATCATTGCAATATATCAATACAATTATAATATGGTGAAGTTAAAATCTAACTAATGTCAGGTGCCGAGATGACATGCGTGATGGAAAAAAGATTAATAAATTAAACGAAGAAATGATATTCGAATAAGTATAATTCCTTATAATAATAATAAAAATTGACCCAAGGACATGCAACCAATGTCACAATTCTCCCTTCTTGGAAACATTATTCCGAGTGGTCATTATCTCCATCGGCGGAGAGTTCCGGAGAATTGCTATTATCCAGGGGGTTGGTTGAAGTTGGCGGTGTCAAGTTATATCCGGCTTTTAGTGTTGGGAATATGCCAGGTGTAGGCTTCCAATTACAATTCCTTCCTTCGTTGTAGATATCTTCTAATACTTCTTCAAATATACCTTCCGATTTGAATTGCAAGTACTTTTTATATATCGCCAGCGCCT